CCAAATGGCAAAGGAACTTTACCTCTCTCATATTCACATTGAAGGAGATGCTCAAAAGATAACAGATATCCTGTTGGACGTCTCTCGAGATGTCCCTTGGCGACTTCACACAATTATTGGTGATTGTAGGAATTTTTTGCAAGAATTTCATTATGTTTTAATCTCCTTTATCCCTCATACAGGTAATAGGGCTGCCCATGTAATTGCAAAATTTGCTTGTCATGCGTGTAGGATCACTACTTTGTCCTTACCTCCTAACTTTCTTATTCCTGTACATGGAAGAAGATTTGGTGCAATGAATTTAGCCTAAGGATTGTTTCAAAAAAAATGAAATTAGAACTTGTATAAAAAATGAAATTATACGATTCCCCGCAAGCAAAAACTTTACATATTCTCTGGATGTATGAGAATCTTGCCGCACATCTCCTCAGGAATTAACGTGTATGTGAGATTTCTCCAATAGGACTGAATGTTATGCGTACAGAGTTTTTGCTTGCATGAGATCTGGGCTTATGTCAGTCTTAAAATCTAAATGGTTTAGGTTGATGCACTCCAACCATGGTTTTCAAAACCGGACCAGACCTGAAAAATCGGGAACCAGTCAGGTGATCGGTTCCAGTTTTCCCCAAAACCGGATTTTCCATAAAAATTGTTGATTTTGGTTAACAAACCACTGACCCGAGCGGTTAACCATTTGAATGGTTTTGACCGGTTTTATTTTTTTAATTTTTTTTATTTTTTATCAGAACGGGCAGATCATTCAGTTCGAACGGTCAAACTGTTCGACCCGATAATCAGACCCCTAACCAGTTCGATTTTAAAAACCATGACTCCAACAGTCCAAGGGTTTTTGGGCATATTGGTTAAACGTGTAATATATAATTAGTATTATTGTAAAGCAAATAACATTCGGTACATGGGTTATAATTGAAAGGATATTAATTAGTTCGTATTTCTTCTTTTTATTTCATTTATATTTTAAGAGTTTGCATTATCCATAGCTCATAGGTGATTTAAATCAAATTTGGCCTTATAAAAATTGGATCAATCATTTATAAGAGTCACATACAAGCTGCAGTCCCACATCGATCAGAAGAAGAGGAAGGAAAAACGATTCGTATAAATACACAAGGAAAATTTGGGGATTGTAAGTTGTTTATGTTGGCGGATTTTATTGGGCAGAATCCCATTTTCATTCGTGGTGGAATGATATTTGAGAAAATGACCATTCCCTCCCCTTTTTTGGGAATGAGAAATTACATTTCTAGCTGATTCTAATTTTTATTTTCATTTGTGTTTATACTAAATATAAACTATGAGAATAGATCATTTCAATTCTGATTCCTAAATTCTAAGTATGAACCAGATGGACCCTAAATTTATTTTTCTGAGACAAGCGCCACTATAGTAGCTGTAGCCTACATGCGTCGCTCATGTATTTCTCTGCTGATGTTAAATAGTTTAACTCAATGTTTTAAAAACTAATCCGTAACTAGAATTGCTTTGGCCATCCGTATTCAGGTTAGCGGTTTGACCATCCAGTTTGAATGGATGGATCTTTCCAATTTAAAAAATTAAAATAAAAAATGGCCAAAAACTTTGTTTGGGGTCAACAATTCAATCACCCGGGTTAGCGGGTCGCTGATCAAGTCAACGGTTTTTTGGCTAAGGAATGGGCTAAGGGTGAAACGAAATGGGTTGCCTGAACGGTTCCCGAGCCAAATCGTCCGACCATTCGGGTCCACATTGGTTTGAAAACACTGATTTAACTCATTATTTTAAAGAAACAATTCTGTGTTGAATGTCCAGAGTGATAATTTGAGTGGAAACCCTGATTATCACTGGCCAGAAAAAAATAAAAAAATATGTCTTTTCCTCAAAAAGTCGTAGGTGTACCCAAATTTTAAATATCTTTCTTTGTTTTTCACAGAAAATTCATTTTCTTTGAGTATTATTTACCCGAATAAGTGATACTCATCTAAGGTGAATAGAAAAAATTATCAACACTTAAATGAGACAAAATTACTTAATAATGACTTTTTATGGCTAAAGAAATCATCGTCATATTTACCTAAAAAAAAGAACATGAATAAAATATACTTATCTAGATAAATAGTTTTCCGGAAAATGAATGATACCTTAATGTAATCAAGTGGAAATTTGACACTAACATGTTACCGTTCTCCGCTCCACGTGTATAGTTTTCAACCTCCTTCAACCAGCACTGCAAAATGAGACTTTGAACCTACCAGTAATAAAGAGCCCAAGGCCCGCCCTTAAAAATTTGGGAAAAGTACGGACAGCCCCATTGCAGAAACCTGAACCCCAGGCCAGCYCATACAGAATTTATAATGACTCTCAATCAAAACGTAAGGAATGAATGATCATGTACTCTTGTCTTAATAGGTCTGAGAGATTTTCGAGAAGATGAGATCCCTCTTCAATAACCAGAAAATGGCCTTCATCAATACCACAGTTTTCTAAGTAATCAGGGCCCTTATTGCCTTCCCTGAGCACGTGGAAAAAATTCACTTGCATATCACACCACCCAAAATTCAACCAGGTTTTAAAAATTGATCCGAAATTGAAACCATTGTGGCCATCAGTTTCTGGGTGGAAAAAATTCACTTGCATATCACACCACCCAAAATTCAATCAGGTTTTAAAAATCGATCCGAAATTAAAACCATTGTGGCCATCAGTTTCTGGGTCAGCAGATCGACCACCTGATTCGAGCAACTTAAAAATAAAAAAAATTAAAAAATTAAAAAAATAGTCAAAACTGTTGAATGAGTGGATAGTTTGACCGCCTAGATTAATGAGTTACTGACCAAATCAAGGATTTTTGGCTAAATACTGTATTAAAGGTGAAATGAAACCAGTTGCCTGGATGGTTCCAGGCCAACCAGTCTAGTTTTCAAAACCATGGAATTGAATATGTCTCCAAAGACAAAAGGCTCTCCGATCCATGATAAGGTCAATAGACCTCATGTATACCCTGCTGTCCCCAGCTTCAAAGGCTTTAAATCTTTGTATGAACCTCACAAGTCACAGTGGCGGCTCAGATGAAGAAGCCGAGTGAAGAACCTTTGCCATCACGAAATAGACAATGTTGAAGAGGGTCCATGCATGTATCCCCTGTCCAAGTGTCATGGCTTAGTTGGTAAACTTCTCTGATTTTCATCAAAAATAGAGCCGGAGAACACTTTGCATTCAGTCTGTACTTGATATGTTCTTGGACTTGTTCAGGCCCAGCCAAGGCCCAATATACAATGCCGGACTGGGTTCAAGGCTTCAAGCTCACCACATTAAGCCAACTTCTTGATTTGGGCCTCAGCCCGGTCCAGCCTAAAGTTTTCCTGGCTTGGGCTTGCCCAGGTCTGCAAAGGCCAGAGGCCCGTTGTTCACTGTCAGTGGTTCAGCCCTATTTGTTAGTAAAAGAAGATATGTTCCTGGACCTAGGTTTGTTTTTCTAGTTGATGCTTCTGTTTCAGCCTTAGGCCGTTCAGTTCAGCAGATAAAGGTGTCATTGGCTTGCTCATCTTTTCAGGTTCTCCAATTCAATTAAAGTCAGTTTAATCGACGATGCTGGAGGACTGATGGAAGAGTTCATCAGTTCATTGAGGTTGAGTTTGGTTTACTTGTTAGACACCAAACGTTTTGGCTAAGGTCTGTTGGAAAGCCCACCTACAAGGAAATAGATAAAACCATTTTCCTGAGAAAACAAAAACAAAATAAGTATTTGAAAAGCACAATTGATTTTCACAACCTCAACCTGGATATGGTTGCTCTTGCTCCTTCATTGTCTACAAATAAGAAGCGCGTTCTGATCTTCTCTAGTTCCTTGTCATGAATCACAGTCAGTGCATGGATTTGACAATAACTAATGCACGCAACAAGGCCATTACCAGAAAATAGAGATAGGAAGATCTTTGAGCTCGTCTCTGACTATGAAATCTCTTAACAAAAAAGCCTAGGCTGGGGGTCAAATGGTGAAAGTGAAACCCTCCTAAAAGGAATAATGCAAACTCTGTAGCTATCATGGAGTCGGAGGTCAAACGAGAAACGAGCTTGGTATGGTTAAGCTATTCTAATTTATGGAACCTGTTACCTGACCTCAACTAAGTTGCAGAGTAGCAAACTATTCTGAAGGGATTCTCTCCTAGACAGTATTGTCTTCCCTAACAATCAGTTGTAGCAAAATTTTGGAGTGTATAAAAATTGGACAAATGTTTCAACTTTTCCTGTGGAAGGCTGTCCAAATGAAAAGTTTGGAGTGACAAAACAGAGGGATGTTGGACAATTGGAGTAAAATTTTCCTTTGGTAAGATACAAAATTTAGATACAGGTCTGAGCTCTTCTTCCCCAATTGTATCTAGGAGAGAGTCCTCGCTAAATAAAAATATGAAGTAGAAGACGCATCCTGTGTAATCACTGGAACCCATGAATAATGATGCTGATAATTCACATCTTACTCGTGAAATTTTTCTGTATAAGAACCTTTACAGGGTGGCTCACTCTTACTTTGTGACTTAAGTTCCAATGCTATAAATTGGACATGTAAACAAGCAAATCCTCCCCTCGCCTGGTCAGATCCTACTGTGGATTTGGAGGTCTCTTTCCATGATAAGAGCTTTTGTGCTTATCCAAATGTATTAGTCATTGATTTAGTTTCTACATGTCAAGTTTCTGCAATTTTTATTCTCTTGAATCTTTTGTTTTCCTTTTTCTATTGATTACTTGGTAAAAGTTCTTGAGCCTTAGTTTGGGAAGAGTACAAATATACATATTTGTATTTGTACTCTTCCCAAACTGAGCCTAGTCTTTCTGAGAACCCGTTCCTTGATAAAACTACCAAAGCAGTCCCTGGGGGAGGGGTGTATTCAGTATACACATTTTTGTTACCCATGTCACCATGTTTACCATAGAACATTATTTGAATAATTAGAATATATCCCATGTTCAACATCTGGCCGTGTCCCTAACTTCCAATGACAATGTCTCAATCAATTATCAATTATATTAGCAAACAGCAGGCAAGCAACTTCATAAACATTATATTCTAAGCTTTCTTTAGAGTATCAACATCACTCATACTTCCAATTCCCGGTCCATTATAGATTCAAATAAAAAAAAAAAGAAGAAAAGAAAAGAAAAGGCTTTCCAAACTACTTGGACAGAGTGGTAGTGTGGTACAACATCTACAAAGAACAATAAAGAAACCGCATCTGTGCTTTTCTTTTCATTCCATCAAGAAAATTTAATATTCCCCAAGTTTTAAGACATCTTATGGCTCAAAAATCATGTTTTCTGCTTCCCTCCTCACAGACTCAAACAACACAGATGACAGGTAACGCTCACCAAAGCTGGGGAAAATCACCTGCATTACAGAAATTGATGGAGTGATTTGTAACAGCACAGGCTGGCAGAAATAAGAGCATAAAAAGGAATAGCTAAATGGTCTAAATTTCAAATGCCATTGAATTAATTTTATACCTAATAAAAGTTTTGGGGATAACAATCTTGTGTTTATGGGCCATTTAAAATACAGCTGTTTCTCGTGTGTATTCTTCACTTGTTTGTTCTCAATTATTTTCTAATTTTTATTCTTGTATTCTTAACAACAGGAGCAGTTTTCAGGTTTATAATTCATCTGGAAGGCTTTTCAAAAATATTAATAAATTCATGACTAATGGTTTAACCATAAAAAACAAGATGTTAACATGAATTCACCTCTTCATCCTAGAGTAAGCTGCTGGCACTGTCATGCACAAATGAGCAAATTGGGTTTTTCTTTTTTTTTTCTTCTCAAATTTTATCTGTGTGTGTGTCAGTTCAAAAGACTACATACATCACAAGGCCAAAATCATGTAAAGTTTCAGCCTAAGATATCTTCCGAGCAGTAGTGTCTCAAGACCCAACAATGGTCCTGCTTGGTGGATCACATAGTCCAAAAGTTCACATGATTTGACAATCATGATGATATGAGATATGAAGTTCTTTGGACTCCTGACATGCCACTTGAGAGAAGTCCACAAATTACACAATTGTCTGCAACCATGTACTTCCTATTGATTTGCAAAGCTAAATACTTATGCTTTGAACCTACATAACAGCCATGCAAGAAAAAATTTAGAGATGTAGAATGGTATGTCCATTCCACTAGAATGATGGAGAAACCTACCACAATGAGCTTTCCAGCATTTTCTGGCCTCTTTGCAATCCTAAGTGCAGCAGCAGTTGCAGCACCAGATGATATCCCAACCTGCAATCAATGTCCCCTATCATCAAAACTGAAAAGAAGAAAGCCATGCAACCATAGACATCTAAGTACAAATATGAAATTGGAAATTCTCTGTGTCAGCACAGAACAAACAGACAGCAACATAAATAAGTCTGTTATAGAGGATTAAGAATATACCAGCAATCCTTCCTTCAGCGCAAGAAGCTTTGCAGTCTCAATAGCTTCATCACTTGATACCTAAAAGTAACACAAATATCATAATTTAATCAATAGGAAATCAAATATTACTGCATGTACATCTGATGAAAGACCCACTTAGAGATCTACTGGAATGGTAATAAAATTCATGATAATCCTGAAACAAATTTTATGAAGGGGAAATTATGCAATAGTAGAAACTGCATTGATGAATAATAGGAAAAGCAAACAAAATAAAAAAAATAAAGAATTGACTCCATTAGTATCAAGTTATTGACTACTAAGTCCTTAAAATTCAAGACTAGTTATTAGATAAAGACCCAAAATTCCTAATGATAAACCAAGGTCCCTATATGCATTATCACAAACAAGTTGGCATCTTGTCAATATATACCAAGAAAATAACTTTGCAGTTCAACTTTAACATTTCAAGCAGAAATGAACCAAACTTCAACAAACAAATTGGTGGACCCAATAAACTGCAGTTCAAGGGCCTTCATGACAGCCAAAGGACCATGACCAAGTTACTCTGACCATGGATTCTAAGACAGTACAAGATTCTTACTAGTTCTTTAATCCTATCCAACCTGAAACTTACAATCTACTGATTGCAAGCTCATGAGAACCTTATAACCTCACCAATTCCTTAACAAAGGATCAATATCTCATGGGGCTTATTTAGCAATCAATCAACTTTCATGAATATCTTTTGCTTAATCAATGATGCTTCAGAAAATGCCTAATATAAAGATAAATTCACGTGTTCACTGAAAAAATCACCTAATCAAAGGTTTTTAAGGCTTACTTGAAGAACTTCATCAATGAGATCAACCTCCAAAACACCAGGAATAAAACCAGCACCAATTCCTTGTATCTTGTGTGGACCTAAGACATAGAAAAGTATCAATAATGGAAACCGCCAATACTTTAAAATATTCTTTAGAGGGACAGACATGAAAGAGAAAAAACATAATCATGATTTTTAATTTTTAATGAAGAAAATAGTAACTGCAAGAATAATCCAGTTACAGGTTCCAAAATATACAGAGCAGACTTGTTAAGATAGAAAGCTATGAAGAAAGTTGTGAGCTCCAAGAACAAACTACTAATTTAGCACATCATATAATCTCCAAACCTGAAGAAGCAATATTCTCACAAGACAAAAAGAATAAATTGATAACTTACCAGGCTTTCCTCCAGAAAGAATTGCACTTTCAGCTGGTTCTATACCATAAATCTAAGAAGGAAAGGAAATACATGCCACAAAATGGAAGTAAACATGTTTGCTCAAAGAAAAATAAACAAGTAAACAAATTCATTAGATATGATCTGTCATATCCTTTTTTTTCAGAAAATTCATTCAAAATTAACTGAAATGCTAACCTTAATCTCAGGGTTTTGCTCTTTGAGAAATTTCGCTGTCCCTGTTATTGTACCCCCAGTCCCTATTCCAGAAACAAAGGCATCAACCTTCCCAGCTGTGCCCTTCCAGATCTCAGGTCCAGTGGTCTCATAATGGATCTAGACAAAAGAACAAAATGGAAATTAAATACTTCAAAGTTGAAACCAGACAATACATTCATACATGATAAAACTCCATTAATACCCTTGGGTTGGCAGGGTTTTCAAACTGTTGAAGGATATAAGCATTGGGTGTCTTTGCTAATATCTCCTCAGCCTTCTGAACAGCTCCTTTCATGCCCCTGGCTGGATCTGTAAGGACCAACTCAGCTCCAAAAGCTCGGAGAATGATCCTTCTTTCAAGACTCATTGAAGCTGGCATTGTTATGATAAGCCTGTAACCCTTAGCTGCCGCCATGAAGGCCAAACCAATGCCCGTGTTACCACTGGTAGGTTCAATAAGCACACTCTACAGAAAAGAAAATTTGTGAGTTACAATATTAAAAAACAAAAACAAAAAAAAAGCAAAAATATTTGCTGTGGCATCAAGACACTTAAACCACAAGTTCGTTTCATGGGCCTACACATGAAGGGGTAGCCTATCCCCCCCCCCCCCCCTGTTGGCAGTGGGATTTGATCCCAGGTCTCTGCTACAACAAGTCAGAGATCCTATCAATTGAGCCACCATCAGTTGGTTAACCAGACTCTTAGCACTAACAAGTGATGAAGCTAGTTTCTTTTTAACTCAGTTCATTTGAAGCATTAACAACAAAACAACAATAACAACTTAGTAGAAAGTTGAATATCATAGAAAACACATTAAATCTAAGACAGACCCGGGGAGACTGGACACTGCACATCATGCTTAGCATTAGCTAAAACTTATAGAAGCTATTAACTTTTGATACAACTTATGTGGTTCATAACTTGCTCCAACTGTTATGGAATTAAGAAGTGCAACCTACTTTCATACATGGTTATTGTATATCTATTGGAGAAACGGTAATGATTGATTGCCAAATTCTGTTATGGAGGAAAGGAGCATCAGTTAACTGTGCAGTTATAGTAACCATCATCATTTGCCTCACTTGACTTAAAGTGTGGTAAAAAACATAAATCATGTCTATACACTTGTCTATCTGAGACCATATCCTAAGTCAAAGAATGAACTAACAGATCTGCCATTACTATCTGAACCCAAGTTCCTGTTCGTTTTCTCTTTTTATACTTTGTAATTACAATGAATATTTGAAAATGATAATGCTAAACAAGAATATTACCCCCACACACACAAAAAAAAAGGAAAAAAAACTACCATAATATCATGATTGGACTGTGGTTATCCCTTAGCTATCTAATATAGTCTCACTTGAATGAAGGTAGAGAATCATTGCCATGAAATGTGATCAGGTTAGTCTGACATGAGAGGTTGCACCAGATAAAATGATAGGGATCATCAGGGGAAATACCCTGGCTAATGACACGAAGTGATAACAGACAATTTCATAGATGTAAAGATAAAAATATTGAATAGTATTGTAGGGTGGTTGTGAAACATTATTGGCAATGTCAAATATTGATGGAAGCACTTCTCTTCTAAACACATCTACCTAACATGGAATCAACTCACTTTCCCTGGTGTAATGAGGCCTTTCTCCTCTGCATCTGCAATCATACTATACCCAATCCTGCAAGTTGGAACATGGTGAGATCAAGAGTAGGAAATGAAAAATAATTGCAGATAAATATTTTGTATTGGATTAAGCCAACAATAAGTAGTATGGCAACACCAACAAAAATGGAAATGATGACAATAAGTAACTACAAGTCAAAATATCGAATCTAACGATAAGGCCTTCGGTAGAAACCTCATTAGTACCTGTCTTTAACACTAGAGCATGGCTCCATCATCTCTAGCTTGGCAGCAACACGGGCCACACAGCCATGCACAATGTTGTTGAGATATACCAACGGGGTTTTACCTATTAACTGAACAAATGAACCACGAAGGGAGAGCAGATGAACTGTGAGCACGACGTTAAAACTGAGGCAACAAGATAAACAAAAGGAGATGGGACGAAAGGAAGAGACAGAGACGTAGGCAACTTACTTCAGTAATGTCTTTTGCGATTTTACACGTTTCCTCCGCCATCTTTTCAGATTACTGCAAGCGTATAATGTACAGAAGGAATCAGATAAAAGCACCGAAAAAAGAACAAAGGCATATAAAAGTGGAACTGAAAAACAGAAAAAGGCAAAAACAGAATCCTCATTGAATCGAATAGGGAAACAGGAAGAAATTCAAGAGCAGTAAAAAAAGAACTCATCAAAAACTTGTTACTAATCCATATTTATCAACTGGAATTCTAAGTGCTTTTGTTAACAGATTGAAAACAGAAAGTTAAAAAAGTAAAGACCTGAAATTGAAAACACAAAATTTTACTCAGACGTTATCCCTTTTTATTTTTATTTTTTTCCAGAAATATAACTCATCCACTAAACTGGAGAAAAATAATTAATATCAAAATGATTGCCAGTAGAATCAAAACATCGAACCGTCCACTCTCACTAAAAAACGCAGATTCTTCGAGGGAAAATAAAGCTATGCTTACGAGATCAAATATCAGATCGAAGAGACACGAAAATTAGAGTAGAGTTGGAGCTTCAGCTCTCAACACCCGAAGTTTTATCAGTCTGCAAATGACGGCCTTTGGAATGACATAAGAGTCTTTTGAAATCGAAAGAATATCTTCTAGATGCCAGAGTCGTTTTCTTTCGGCCGATTTTCCAAGTGGAGCTATAGAAGTTACAGTAAAAAGAAACATTGACGGAGGCAACTAAAAAGAACTCAAATTAGAATTTTAACCGCAAAAAGACGAAAATATATGAATCCGATGAAGATTTTCCATGCGGTCTCTCTCTCTCTCTCTCTTCTTCCTGAAAATGATTGATCCTTATTTTATCGCAAGTTTTGTATAAAGACTGGAATTCAAGTGCTTTGATCAACGAAATTCAAAAATCAAGCAGAAGAGAGGAAAGAAGGAGAAACGCTAATGTATACCTCCTTCAGCTCGATGACTGCTGGCAAGGCTTTTCTTCAATCTTCAGCAACCGAATAGAACCGATGACGCAGATGGAATGGAGCTTGGCGGCTTAAATAGGAGTGGGATGGTGCTGCCCAAGAAGATGAAGTCAACCACATGACAATCCGGCGCATGTTAGCTGCTACTGGATGATGTCCTCCCATACATCACCACGTCCATTAGTTTATGGGCACCAGTACTTAATCATCGTTCACGTATGTGATTACTGATTAATCAATCGCATAGTGAGAATACAAGTTGAATGATACCCAGAGACGAGAGTGGATACATAGGGGTGTCGGGTCTGGGTCGGGACAGGGTAAAATCGAAACTGACCCGACAAAGAAATATCAAGGTTCCAAAACGACCGGACCCTACACTCGGTCTGTAATTTTAGATTCAGAACGGAATTGATCACTTATCTGTTGAGAACATTATATATCTGGTTATAATAAATCTGCCGGAAATATTATATTTTGATTATTATTGGTTTGGGATCTTATGAAGCGTGATTTGGCCCGACCTAAGAGGGGACACGTGGACACGATCTGACTAAGAGATGACAACTCAGCTTAACGTAATCAGTTCACAGCAGATCGAGGTCGGGTACCCAACCACCTCGAGCTAAAGTGACCTCGGGACAAGGCCACCTCGAGACGAGATCGCCTCGGTACCTGATCGCAATGAGAACACCTTGATGCCAAGGCACTTTGGCACTCAACCCAGTTCGGGACTTAAAGACATCAGCTCGGGGATACCGACATGCCACTACGTGGTGGTCCCGAAAACCCCTCCAATGGATCCTGGGCCTCACGGGATCACTCCGTGTAACAGCTAGCATTATCTCCCTGACCGATTCGGGCGAAAGTGATGAACCTTATCGGTTGGCAACGTTATCTTCCAACTAACGCGGAAATGGGTCTTATCGTGACGAAGATCCCGGAACTGATCCGTGAAACCCACGAGGACTCGACTATATAAAGGCTCCACCCCCGGAGGTTCAAGGTACGCATGATTTCTATGCTCACTAGCTCTCTGCATTCTTAAGCTATTTCAGCTCGCAACAAGTATACTAACTTAAGCATCGGAGCGACCTCGCCAAGCTAGCAACCCCAGGTTCTCTAATCCTACTCTTGCATATCCAATTTTGTCCGCTGTCCGCCTGGAACCCAGATCACCTCTAGCAGAGAGCAGCTAGATTGCACAACATCATTTGGCATTGTCTGTGGGAACGCTACAAAAAACCTTTCTCCACCATCAATAACAGAATCAAATCTATGGCTTCCTCTAGCAACGCCAGACAAAGCAACGAAGTGAACGTCTCCGGGGGGCAACCTCAGATCCCGTCTGTTTGCATAGGTCAGTTTACAATACCGCTTATTGTGGCTGGGGTCCCAACGCTGACCGTGCCCCAAGCGATTTCACAAGTGAAA